GAGTTTTATTGTTAAGGAAAACTTTTTTGTTTGTTAATAAACGGTAGTCATACACATCAGAAAAGACGAACCTAATAAAGTGGTGCACTAGCTTTGGTGCAAAGATTCGTCTTTTCTGATGTGTATGACTACCGTTTATTAACAAACAAAAAAGTTTTCCTTAACAATAAAACTCGATCTATTTATACGTGCAATAATCTTGACTATACTCTGTGCAATAAACTTGAATTATTCTTGCACCATAAGCTTGCAAATATTCTTGCACAATAAGCATGCATATATTCTTGCGCAATAACCTTGACTATGATCTTCTCTCTTATGGCACGACTCTGGTACATGACATAACATACTTAATGAAGAAAAGGATTTATCATAAAACATCAGTATTTACTATTGTGTCGTAAAGAAAAAAACAGAATACTTTTCAGAAGTCTCTTGACAAAAAGTTTAGATGAAAACGTTTCTATTTACAAAAGAAATACTCTTGAAAACCAGTCAAGGAAACTACTGTAATCGATACAAGAACTGTTAAGCTATCAAACCATTGATTTTTCTAAAAATTGATTTTGTGGAAGATATATCGTCAGCTTTAAGGATGAAGAGCATCTCACTAAGACTGAAATCAAAGTACCTCGGATTTTGAACAAAAAAACAATTTTCTCAGCATAAAATTACTCACTCGAAAATGCATACGAATCTCTCAGATCTCTTTAACGAAATTTTATATTCCTAGGCTAGTCAAGTAAGAGACAGTGAATTTCATGGGATTCGAAGAAAAATTGTAGTATTTTTAGTGTATTTTATGCTATGTTATTTGCCGTCTGGTTCCTTAGCACATTGAGTAATAAGCAACGAGAGCTTCTATTTAATCTGGAATAGAAAAAAATTTTCTTTTTCTTTTTTCTTTTCTAAATATTTTCTACAATATGATTGTGAAAGAAAAAAATAGAGGTCATAATCAGAACGAACAAAAGAAGTATGTGTATGTAAATTTTGGCCATTTGTAGAACGAAAAGGAGAAATTTTTGATTGCTATTCGAAAAGATCTTTAATGGTCCTGTTGGCAGTGAATAATGTGCTTTTTCTTCAAAAAAAATGGAAAATATAGCTTTTTCTCACACGTGTCAATTATGCACTTCTGTTACTACATACACAAGAAATACCCAAGGATTTTAACCCCGATCTCTGCTCTTTTTCTTCTTTATCAATAGTGCTCTACGATTCAGTTCTTTTTCTTATGTGACATAGAGAATGCTGCATGCGAGAAAATGAGAAGAATATTTTTTCTTTATTTCTCTCTTCTTTGATGCCTTGGATGAATCATATTCCAAATAGAAGTAAAAATAAAACTTCTTTCCATACAGCAATCACTTTTAACCCTTTACCTACCACCATTGATCTGTAGAAGCTGGCGGCAAACCCACCAGTAGAATAAAGCAATTAGTAGTGCAATATGTCAATTTCAAGATTGAATCGAATCAAAGTTGCTCCAGTGTTGAGCAATACCATGGGTCATCCATGACCCATTGGTGGCGAACAACATGCAAAAAAAGTACAAAAAAAAGTACACTTTTACAGTTAGGTTGTTATTTTATAGCAAACATATTTTGCAGCAATTATATTAAGTATTCATTGTCATACAATTAAATTTATTTTTTCTAGATTATTGTTTAGTGTACAACCTGAAGTGTGAAAAGCTACAAAACAGTTATGTTGTGGTTGAATACATAAATGTATTATCCTTTTCCGAAAACGAGGCGGCTCGGCAGAATGCTTATCACATTTGAACGAAAAGTGATAGCGACATACGGTTTTCACCGTTGGGTAGAGAACATCGGGGAACGTAAGCGTATGCAAAAGCTAGGCTGCCAGGTAAGGTTTATCATTACCATTACTTTTTCAAGATATTCTTCCAGCGTTAATGTCTGTTATTTATAACGATTTTCTAAATCGTGTAATCGTACATTTCGATGCACAAATAACTTTTTCTTGGTGGTATTGTACCAGTGGCTGTATGACGTGATGATACGACGAAACAGGAACAGCTAAAGCTTTATTTTTGACAAAACGGGAACACTAGAAAGAAAGCTCTAAACATTTTTTCGACGAAACAGGAATACGAATTAAGCTTTCGACGAAACGGGAATTCACCATCACGATATGATGGTAATGAACATTGGCCAAAAGTTTTAAAATCAAGATTACGGTGTAAATATGAAAAATGCGAGTTGAAAACGCAATGGACATATTTACATGTGAACTATTATCCTTTTCTGAAAACGAGGCAGAATGCTTATCACATTTAAACGAAAAGTGATAGGGACATGCGGTTTTCACCGTTGGATAGAAGACATCGGGGAATGTAAGCGTATGCAAAAACTATATCAAGATTTTTCGAAATATTCGCTCTATATACCACATAGCGGTAGAATGCTTTAATTTGAAACTCTTGATATAATGACTTTAGGTCGATTTGAAACTAAAAATAAACATCACCACTCGACTCAGCGTGACCGATTATCCCTATCTTGACCCATTTTAGGATCACCTAAGGTCAACTGGCCGAAATCGAGGCTCTGGGCAAAATGCTTATAGCTTTTGTATTATAAGAGATAGAGAGTGAAGACTGGTCTAGAATTGTAGATCTCGGTTTGCGCTATTGATTGCACTGTTTGAAAATCCCAATCTATCGTACGGTCCAGGAACGGCGGTCTCGTAGACTTTGCATTGAAAGGCTTACCATGGTAAACCTTACCTGGCAGCCTAGCTTTTGCATACGCTTACGTTCCCCGATGTTCTCTATCCAACGGTGAAAACCGTATGTCGCTATCACTTTTCGTTCAAATGTGATAAGCATTCTGCCGAGCCGCCTCGTTTTCGGAAAAGGATAATACATTTATGTATTCAACCACAACATAACTGTTTTGTAGCTTTTCACACTTCAGGTTGTACACTAAACAATAATCTAGAAAAAATAAATTTAATTGTATGACAGTGAATACTTAAACTGGTTTTACAGAAGATCGGATCTTCGAAGGGTTATGGGGTACCCCCATGATCATATTCGGAATTAGTATGGTCGATAACCTATAACCCACTCGATGCGAACTATTTTTCCCATTAATAGAAGCCCGCCTGAAACTCTTAGTTACGGTTTCTAACGCACAAGAATAATACTTTTGAGTTGGCTATTATTAATGTTATATCAGTTCAAGAGTATTTTCGTACTTTCCCTGTAAAAATTTGGAAAATTACTCGTCTTACATATTGCACCAGTTTAATTAATCAATCTACTTTGTTAATGTACATTTAATACATAATAAATTACACTGTTTCAACGTCTTGGGTACACTTCTTTCGATTCGCTATTTCGAAAAAAAGTGGAGATGCCGAGTATTGATCTCGGTACCTCTCGCATGCTAAGCGAGCGCTCTACCATATGAGCTACATCCCCATGGTGATATTGGTTCTCCATGATAGAGAAGTGCATGGAATCAATTAACATTATCTGCTGAGATCGCTATAACATATTGTACGTATCTGTAGGTTGATTTGGCTGTATGGATAATTTTGCGTGTGTCTGTGTAATCTGATGGCTGTCAGTATAATGTATCCATGCGTCTGTCTTCATGTTTTACTATTACCCTCTCACTCGTAATCAAACGAGGGAAGATCCTAACTGACAGATCGCTTTTGAGTTGAAATCGAGTGGGTTATAGGTTATTGACCATACTAATTCCGAATATGATCATGGGGTACCCCATAGCCCTCCGAAGATCCGATCTTCTGTAAAACCAGTCTATCAGAAACTCTAAAAAGTAATACAAACCTTTCTTAACAATGCAAGATTGTGGCACGCAAACGGTTGATTAAAATGAGACATCTCCCAGCTCTACACGACCTTTCTTTGCAAAGTTAGAGAATTTACAAGAAAGCCCTGATGTTTATGGTCAGCTTGAAGCTGCAGAAATAAGAAGAAATTAATTTAGAGCTTTTCTTGTAAATTGTATAACTTTGCAAAGAAAGGTTATGTAGAGCTGGGATATATCTCACTTTGATCAGAAATTTGTGCGCTACAATTATGCCTCATTGAGAAAGGTTGATTATTTTTTAGAGTTTCTGAAAAACTGGTTTTACAGAAGATCGGATCTTGGATGGGGAATCCTCATGATCATATTCGGAATTAGTATGGTCGATAACCTATAACTCACTCGATTTCGACTCAAAAACGATTTATCAGTTAGGAATCTTCCCTCGTTAGTTACACATACTATGAACAGTGATTATCAGCATCTTTTCACTATTTAATTCACTGGATTTGTGTGAAGCAGACACCCACGAAATGTTGTCTTATTCACTCTAATGATGTATCGTTCGCATAGTTTTCGGCTGTATCCTGAACATAAAAATTTGGCCAGATATATCACTTTTTTTCCGAAGATCACTTCAGTGAGTATTTCAACTTTGAATCAACTGCTGTACAATCACTAATGTATTTTTTGAAGAAAAATTCATAAAAAAATTAGATTTGAGGTAGAATATGTAGTTTAAAACTAGAGAACAAATGTACGATTATTGTTTAAAGTATAAAGTGTATAAAAAAAATATATCTAATGATAAGATTATAAAACATCTTTTTTGATTTATATTCCTGGATGCTCATCTCGACGTTGTAGCGTAATCATAAGCTTTTTTGGATGAACAACAATAAATTCTTCTAATACAAATTCTTTATCGGTATCTTCACATTTCAGTACTGAGTATGTTCTCAATAAGCGAACAAGTGTCATTTTCATTTCTAATAACGCAAACCGCATTCCTACACAATTTCGTGGACCTTGTCCAAATGGCATCCATGCCATTGGATGACGTTTAGTCGCAAATCGTTCCGGATAAAATACATTAGGATCTTCCGGTCCCCATAGAGTTGGATTATAATGTAAATCAAACATATCAATTGCGATTGATGTTCCAGGTGGAATTGTTCCAATACCTTTCAGTTTGATTTCTTCACAATTTTGTCGACTAACAACATGAGGAGCGACTAAAATATTCAATATAGTCTATAATTTAGAAACGTTCACACAAAAAAGTATTATTGAAAGAAGTAATGATTTAATGATTGAACTACTCACTCGGATACATTCTCAATACTTCACGAAAAAACCAATCTAAATATTCCATTTGTTGTATTTTATCATAATCGGGTAGTGCATGATCATTTTCAGAATTGAAATTTTGGTCGATATGTTCTTGTAGTTTATGTTGTTCATTTGGATGCGTGGCTAATACATAGGCAGCATAGGCTAAAGCGGTACTAGTCGTCTCATAGCCAGCAACCATAAACAAATAAATATTAGCTGTTATTTCATGTAATGTTAATTTTTTATCTAATATTGCATCATTTTCATAGTTTTCGGCTGTATCCTGAACATAAAAATGTTTTATTTCTTAATTTTATTTTTAATACAATAAAATTATTTACCTTAACATAATTTTGATCCGTCATTGCTTCAAGCATTAATTGCATTAGGTCATTTCGTTCCATTTTCGAATCAATTCGTTGTTGTAGAATTTCTCGTGTCTTCTTCATTATATATGTTGATGGTTCTTCATTGACATATTTTTGTATTGTTGTACAGTATTTACGACTCCAATAGCGAAAGTTTCGTTCAAAATCATGTGACAATCTCCACCATACTTTTAGTTCACTAATCATTAGTGCTAGGAGAATGAAAATTTTAGAACTTTGTTTTTCAGAAAATATGTCTTGAGAATTCTTTAAATATAAATTATTCGGATTATCTTGCATGTCCGTATCTAATCCAAAACCACAACTCCAAATTGTATCCATTGTAAAACGTTTATAAAATTCATAAATATCAAATGGCTTTTTTATTTGATATTGTTCTTCAAGTTTCCTCATCAATCGATCGACCGTTACTTGGATTAACGGAATCATCTGTTTTAATTTTGCTGTGGAAAATGTTGGATTGATTACAGCACGCTGACGTTTCCATCTCTATAACATTATACAAATAGAAACACGATCAAATACAAATTTAAACGATTGTTTTTTGTGATGTGCATTTAAAAAAGATTGTCGTGATCAGTTTCAAATAACATGTCAGATCAATCTTCTTGCAGTGTAGAAATCTTAGAAAGACCCGATCAAAATAATGCCCTAACACATACACAAGTAGCATTTTAGCACTTAAAATGGCAGAGAACTCTGGGAAGCGCTGAAACCCACTTTTTAAAAAAGACGATTACGAGAAACAAGTCAGACGAGTTTATGCTTCTTAGTTTTCGCGATGAAAATAATCTGTTGACGATAGGTAAGAGTAGTTCACTACAGATTGTGGACTACGCTGAATTCAATGAACATATGCAAAGACATGTGCGGTGTATTCTTCGGCAGAATCGTGCGCTTCAAAAATGCTGCATCATGCAACTACCTTTACCGAGAAACTGCTTTTCAACTCACTGTCACACTGCTGGCATACTCAATCGCCTAATACACACACAAGTAGCTATGTACCTATGAAGGGATGAGAAGGTTTTCTAAAGGCACTGTGCAATAAAAAATGGACTTTTCTCTCCCTGTTTTTCGATTATTCACAATATTTTTGAAGTGCACGATTATGCCGAAGAATACGCTGCACACGTCTTTGCATATGCTCATTGAATTCAGCGTAGTCCACAATCTCTCGTCAACAAGTTATTTTCGTCGCGAAACCTAAGAACTATAAACTCGTCTGACTTTTTTCTCAAAATCGTCTTTTTTAAAAAGTAGGTTTCAGCGCTTCTCTTTCTCTTGGCGCTTTCGATTTCTCTGCCATTTTAAGTACTAAAATTCTATTTGCGGATGTGTTAGGGGATTGAGTGTGATAGTGAGTTCGAAAATCAGTTTCTTAGTAATCTTTTCAATTTCAATATAGACGAGATAAAACGAAAAACTTAACTGTTCAGAATTCAATTGTATTACAAAGGAAGGGTAGAAGTCTCTTTGCCGAAGAGTCGAAGTCCTGTTCGCAGAAGAGTCGTGTACCACTATCTGATATATACTTACTAGACTTGTTGCGCTGAAAAGATGTACCATTTTTCCATGTCGATCTTCTAACGGTAAATCTCGTCGAGTATGAAAAGTTGAAAATTGTTTAATGAATATATCTTGTAATATATCTGGATCAGAGCAAACAAGAATTGGTGTGTGTCCTTCAAAATATCCATAAATTTGTCCATATCTTTCTGTCCATCTTTTCATACAGAGCGTTAATCGACCTGTTTTGATTACTTCGATAAAGTTACCAAAGAAAAATATTGGTTTTGGACCACTGATGTTTCGTTTTTTGAAAAAATCATACGCTTGGTTGATATAAATACAATAACTGACTAATAATATCAGAAATATTGCTACCAAAATAGCTGTTAACATTTCTTTGTTTATGTCGCCTAGGAACTACTTGTTCATCAGCAAATTTCTTTACCACTTCCTATTGCATAAACAAAAAAAAATGAGTGCTTTTTTATTACAAAAATTGCGATGAGATAAACTACAAAAACAACATAACAGACGTGTTTTTTCTTTTCCTTTCTACAGTTTCTTTTTCTTTCAACAGTCAATTTTTTTGCATGAAAATGACACGAGTATACCCATTTTTCTTCAGCTTTTTATCGAGTAGACATAGTATGGATATGTCAGTAGAAACTGATGTATTTTTAGGATATATTCACCAGAGTGTTGAATGATACATGTGAAAATACACCAGCAGCATGAAATACGAAAAAAGTATTTACACGTGATAATAAAGAATGGAAATAGTTTGACAAATAACAGTATAATCCTTCGGTCAATTCGTTTACATTATAAATTTCATAATGGATCTGGTATTTTTCATTTCTAGTTACAATTGTATAGTTAACACTAAAGAGATTTAAAAATGACACAATCAGTTGCACGAAATAAAAGAAAGAAATGTTGTTTTAACCAGTTATTATTTAATGAATTGTTGTCATCACAAAAAAATTGAGCATTATATAATTAATTCGAAAACATTAGTCAAATTCTATAGGATAAATAGCTTGGTATTTGCACCGTAATTAAAGTGATTAGAAATAGCAGTGAAAACGCTGATGCTTATTATTCCATTTCATTTTGTTTTCCATCTCATCTTGTTTTCTCTGTAGCAAAGATCTCTATATTTTGATTCATTATCGGGTATAGAGTTAGAAATAAAGAAAAGAAACAGAAAAAAATGTGAGTGATTATTGTGTAGTCTAAAGGTTAGACAATTACAGTGTCGTTTATATTCAAAAAAAAAATGTTCTTTTCTCTCATCGTTTTCTTTTTCTCCTGTCGTTTGTTAGTTACGCTCTTTTGTCTCTTCCAGACTTGATGATCTATGAGATCATCGCTGTGAGAAGGGATCAAAATAATAAGGCAGATTTTAATATTGATCGCATAGGAATGAATTGTTTTTTTCTCCTAGAATGGTATATATTTATAGTTTCGCTGATGCGGAGAATTTGAGAAAAGTGACAACAGTCAAGTTTCCTGTGAAAGAAAACCCTTTCTCTTAATGGAATTAGTAGTGCATCCATTTTTAACATTTCTTTCATGACGATGGCAGGATTGCTAGTAATAACGCATGCGTGGAGTAGCACACAGTCAACATTTTCCACTAAGAAATTGATATTAAGTTTTTATTAACCGAAAATGATTTTCTTTGATTTAGAATGACTCTCTATGTCTGGAATCTGCGTCTGAAAAGACTATTCTCGCAAGAAAAAACGCACAGGAATTCTAAAAAGTTTTGGCGGGACTAGGCGAGTAATTTGGCAGAATACTTTTTGAAAAATTGTAGAATGTGAGACAGCGGAAGAGACGGGGGTCAGACAAAAAGCCATAGCATGTGCAGTGAGACGACTTCTGCCTCGCGGCATCTTGATGTAAACTGTTGGAAAAATAGTGGAACAATATGTTTTCTTAGATGATATTATGTTGACATTGTTTCGTTTTCATCTTAATGATTTTAATGACGATAGAAAAACACGAAGACGCACTCCTACAATCCCAATGCCGGTCAGAGTAAGATCACCGATGCTCACTCGACCGATCAGCATGGAAATTCTACAGGAACAAGGTATGATCTGGATCGTGACGATGCTTTTACTCAATACATAAAACGGTACAACTCCATCTGCCAATAAGAAAGAATGTAGAGTTTGATGAATGTACTGTAAATGTTTCATATTTTTGAGGACTTTTTCATTAACGAAAGTTATTGTTGCTCCTGTGTCCACCAAAATTTTAATTTTATATTTATTTACAAACGTATTGATGAAAACTAATGAGAATTTAGATGGTTTTTTATTATTTTTATCGGAATTATCACCATCCATTGATAATTCCTTTATTGAAAATTTTGGCATAATGAAGCGTCATGTCCAAATTGATTAAATTGTGTACAACTAATAGATGGAAGAGATTCTTGTTCTTATTCAATATTATTTGATGAATCTAATGGAAAAATTGTATTTGCATTACGTTGACGTGGTTTATTAGTATTTGAATAATGTATTTCAGGTGAAACATTTCGATCTCGGCCATTATTAGTAGTTGCATTAAATGAAGAATTATTTCAATTTGTGTAGGTATTATTATTTCTGTTGTGATTATAATTTTCTGAATATCCAGACGTAACTTTGTTTGAAGATGAATTATGTGGATATTTGGTGTTTGAAGTAGGTACTTTAGTTGAAGATGATGATTGTTTTTCATTAAAAAGTTGTGAGCTATTATTTTTACCATCATCATCAATATTGATCTCTGAGAGTTGAAGTAATTCTTCAACATCTCGTACGTATTCTAGAAATTCTGCAGGAGTAGTTGGCTTTTTCTTTCGAACTTCGAACTGTATAGTTGGTTTAATTTTATTGATAAGAATTTTTAATTTGGTTGCTTCACTCATAATAGAGTCACCTTCTTTACATAATTTTAATATATCATTAAAAAAATTTCGAACCGATTGATTTTCACCTTGTGTATATGACTCTAATTTTTTAAATGCTAACTCTTCATGGAATGAAGAAATAAATGCTCATTGAAGTTCATGTATAATGATTTTCCAAGAAGTAAACAAATTTTTGTGATTTTTGTACCATTGTAAAGCATCACCTCGTAATGAATAAGCAATTAAATCTAGTCGACTAGAACCTGGAATATGAGCAACATCTAAAAGATGTTCAATATCTTCAATCCAGAATAACTGCGGGAATATAGATAATGATAAAGACAAAGATGATGATCAATATGAAGATAAAACAACAACGACAAAAGCAGTTAACTATGACGGAAAATCAAAAGGAAAACATCATAGAGGATTAAAGGATGAAAGAGAAATAATATATTGAACAGTTAGTGTCAAGGTGCGTCATCTATTGACGCTAACAATTGGTGTTGGAAGTTTATATTTCAGATGACTCAAAGAAAAAATAATTTCTACTTTTAGCTTGGCATTCAATACTTTCGTTTAGTTTTGATTTCCTTGTTATGCAACATTTTTTATTATTTAAAATAAGAGTCGTACGAAGAAGTACCGAAAGTACGATGAAGTATAGACGTTTGCCTTTTTCTACGTTATATAACCCGTACGTTCTCATATTTTTCTCTGTTCTCTGTTCTGTATGACGATGCAAAAAAATAATGTTGTCGTTCTCTTCTCGTACATTCAGTATAGATTTTTCTGCATTCATTTATACTATAAATGATTTGTGAAAAACAGAATTTTTAGATTTTGAATCGTTGTATAACATGTCTGCTGTACGTACTGTTGCTGCCTCGAACACACAAATATTGTCTTCTTTACAACCACCTCTACATGTCGTCGTAGGTGGTGGTACATCTGGTATTGGTCGTGGAATCGCTCTTGCATACCGTAAACATTGTCCAGACGCTCATGTGACAATTATTGGACGTAATCAATCTGCTGCCGATGAAATCCTATCTCAATTAGGTCCAAATGGAAATTTTATACGTGCCGATCTTTCATTGATGTCTGAAATTCGAAGAATTACTAAGCAAATTAATGCAGTTGACGTACTCGTTTTATCTCAAGGCATATTAACATTTACTGGTCGTACACCAACCAAAGAAAATATTGATGATAAATCGGCTGTAAGTTATTATGGTCGAGTTTTATTTGTCGAAGAACTTCTCCCATTACTTCGATCATCTCCACATGGTGGTAAAGTTCTCTTTGTTTTGAATAGTAAAAGAGGTAATCCATCGAAAATCAATTGGAATGATATGGCACTCGAAAACAATTATTCGCTTTTGGCAGTTTTTAATCATGGTCTGGCATTTACTGATCTTGTCATTCAATATCTTGCTTCTCAACCAGAAAATGCCAATGTTAGTTTTATACATGCATTTCCAGGTAGTGTTAGAACTCCTATAGCCAATGGTTTACCTTTTTATCTTCGATTACCTGCAAAAGCTTTGAGCGCCGTTGGTTGGGGTATCAGTCCTGAAGATTGTGCGGAATTTATGATACATGGCATATTAGGGACAGAGAAAGGTTGGAGATGCATCGATGAGAAAGGCGAAACTGTCCCAAATAAGGAAGTATCAGATGAAGAAATGTTAAAGAAAGTTTGGGAACATACTTGTGAAATCACTTCGCGTACCGCTCAATGATAAATAAACAATATTTATTATGCTTTTAATTTTTTTTTCAATTTCACTCAGAAATAAATCATCATATTGATTTTAATTCATCCTTTTCTGTCATATAAAGGGTGACTCAGAACTCCTCACTCGACTTGTAACGGGTGTCCCACAAAGAATGGGCCTCCCAGTATTTTGCTGACATCTTTATCAAAACTAATGCGTTCCGGGTCAATTATTTTTTAAAGATTCATCCTTTCATCCTCTACAAGAATCTATATTTCTTATTTTATTTCAATCTATTGTGTGTTCAATATAAAATGAAAAGTAAAGATCTTCGAGAGGTAGTTTTCCGTAAGTACGAAGATGGCGATGGTCCTACCAAGATCTTCGTGATTTAAATGGTTCTTTGGGATTAAATACTATCAAAAGATGGTGTGAGATGATCCGTAACACTGGCTCCATCCAGCTGTCAACATCCCCAAGTGCTTCACGTTTTGCTCGAACCAGTAAAACGGTTGAAAAAGTCAAGCATAAGCTTGATCAAAAGAAGATGGTATCAGCTCGACATTTGGCTAGGGAATATGGCATATCCAAATCAAGTGCACTATGTAAGCAACCATGACGGGTTTCGACCTTGCTTAAGGGTCTCTTCAGGTGGCTGGAATTCGGTTTTCAAATCCATAAGGAAATGAACCCCTTTAGTGTTGGTGTAGATTAGCATACACAACAACCTGCTCTTTTGCAGCATAACTTCAAACGGAGACATCTACTAGAGATGCATCATCTGTTGCTACTGAAATAGACTGGTTTATTAGTCAAAATGCCCGATGCTCTGCTACCTGGCAACGAATTGTTATTACCAACACCAATCGTAGAAACGGTAATTGAAGTTGTTGTCAGTGTTACTGTCGATAGTTGTAGTGTTGTAATGATAGAACTTGACGTGCTGCTTGTTGCTCCCATTGTGACTGTTGATGTGCCAGATGACGAGATAGCACCACCCGATGTGCTTTGACCAGACGTTGATGGTGTTGATCTAATATAGGCGCGAAGATACGAAGGGATGTTCATACCATTTGTACATATAGTGAAGTCAATATTACAGTTGTTCGTCGTACAGAGACACCATATCTCGTATTATATGAACCGGGACCATCAGGAAAGATTAAAGCAAACCTCGTGGAACTCTGGTACTGATAACCATAATTGCTGTTGATAGCCAGCATCGTCAAAACTTGCATCATTTGATACATCCAGTGTTCATAGACACCTTCGACCATGGCCATTTGTTGATAAATGCCTCATATTGGATCGTAGAAAACTACGCATATAACAGTATGATTAGGAGTATAGATATAACACTTCGAAATATCCCGTGGAATCAAGGGATTCAGAATGTTACAGCCTGAATACATAAGAGGTATGACAGTGTTCGCCGCAGACATATTCACACCTAGATCTTGACATGTTATTGTGTTTGTCAACGATGGTTGAACAGATACATAGCTGTATCGATGTTGCTGTCTGATAGTAATATGGACTGCAGCTTCAATAACCAATGTTCATGGTTGTTGAGAAGTTATATTAATGGATAGCCATATTATGAAACATATTCCATCCTGATATGAAGGTTCGATAAGTTGTAGTTTGAGTCAGATTGTTCACAAGTGAAGTGCTGATTGCCATGATACAGTGATTAGTGTATGAATTATCTCCATCAGATTGAGAGGTCATGGTTCCATTGTACAATTTTTCAATCTGGCTCCAGCATGCTATAGTTTGTCTATTATAACTTAGAAGCGTGGATATTGGTGAAGTGAAGAATGAGGCACTGAATGGTAGAAATAACACACTGATGAGAACTTTAAAGAAGAAAGTATGCATGATTTCGACGTTCAAAATTGGATTGGATTTGGAGTTCCTTAGGTTATCTGCTTTTTAAATCCCTTTCACTCTAAGGTTTGTAATTCTCCATGCAATGATTTATCTGAAAAAAGACATATACTGTTTTAATTTATGGTTTTTCAGTACTTCTCTAGATCGATGACACCCTGCTTAATTGACCGTACGTACGGAGAAAAAAGTGTGTGTGCCATTGAAACTGAGTCGAATTGGGTCGGGTTTTACTAGAAGGATTCTACTTTTTCAATAAGTTTGAATGGTTTTTGTGAGCATTGAGTTGGTTGATGTAACTAAGAAATGTTGTCTACGGGTGAAGGTCGCACGTAAGTAAAGTTAGCAGTTTATTCGATATTTTCAGTACTTATTCACTTCTACAGCATGTGCTATGGCTCTCGTTGGTTTTGAAACTGACGAGGAAAGGACACCAACTGGGAAATCGCTTTTGAGCCGTGAGCTAGTGGAGAATAGGTAATCAAGTATGCTGAATCCGGATATGACAATCATTTGGGCCGCTAGCCCTCTTGAGACCCAGTTTTTAAAAAAACAGTTTTCTAGGCCGAAAATTTTTTTTTAACCTGTCTAGATTAAAGAGCATACCGCGAAACCTATAAAAACATGTTTTAACAGTTTTTCGAGGGTTTTGGAAAGATTTCTGGAGGGCAAAACTTTGCATAGGGCAAAATTACGTTCTTGGCCTTTTCATACTTTTCAATGAAAAATCAACGATAAATAGGTAATCGACGACGGAGATTCCGAATATAATCAGCAGATGCCAGAAAGGAATAAGCAAAAGCTGGCAGTTTTGCTTTCGCGGAACGTTTCCCTTAAACTCTGAAGTGATCAGGTTCCTATTTAAAGGTGTTCCTGCTATATCTCCTTTACGTCTATTCGCTACAGCCATCATGAACATTTCGAATATAGTAAATCGCTTGAGTGATTTAGTCCGTGAGAATTTGGGTTTGACTTCGTCATCTCCAACATCTCAAAAAGAGTGTGAATTCGCAGAAAACTTATATGAAAACATCAAATCGGTCAAAAGTGCTACGACATATCGTTATTTAGAAGAAACTACGCTGGACGTTGATGATGACCCTTTTGATTACTCTAGTAGCAGTGATGAAGAGGAAGGTCATCATGATAACAACTCTGAATCGGAGGAAGAGGTCGATGGAGAGGAAAGCAAAAGCGAGAAAGATAAACGTCACTTGGCTAACTATTCACTAGATTTTATGCAAGAGGTAGTCGACTACGCTGACGAAAAAGACAAAAATGGGAAACGACGTCGATCATGGAAGACTGTCCATCACAGGTACAAATTAGTTCCAAATCAATCGTATGTAAGTCGATTTCGTACATATCTGCAACAACACGGAACGAAACGACAAAAGATCAACGATATTGATGAAATTCTATTTAAAAAGTTTTTGCAAGCTCGGAAACAAGCTTTGCCTCTGCACGACGTTGATCTACAGCGATGGGCGCTAAAAGCAGCTAAAGAAGTGCATTTGGAAGCTTTTCATGCTTCACACGGACAGTTGGCCCGATCAGGACGACGAAGATTTGTATACGAAAGAAGGGTGTGGTGGTAAACAAGTCTCGAAATTCCGCCGAAAATCACGTCAGATCTGCAACCATTGGACTGCTACACAAATCGTCAACTCAAAAACTTCATCAAAAAATGTTATCAACGTGTAGCCTTGGATGAACTCGATGTCGATCTTTACCAAAGAAATAATATAACCAAGCTAACATCACTCGTACACAAGCAGTTAAGTGCGTCAATTTTTAATCGTATGATACAGTATTTCTGGTTCATGGCAGGCCTTCTGAAAACTGACTCATCACCATTTTCCAATCTACTCGAAGTCTGTTTCCCATCCCTTACAACGCACGAAGAATGTGAAGAAAAGGAGTGTGACGAAAGTGTTTTTATCAACTGTTCCATCTGTTCAAAAAAGCTTTGTTTCTCTCATTTTTTCGTGTCATATCATTTTCATGATTCAGCAGTACAGGGTAGCGGCTGATAGCCCTTCATGGGCCGTTGTGTTTTCTCAACCATTTGTTTCAACCAATTTCAACCAAGAGGAGAACGCATATTTTTTCGAAAAAAAATTAAAAAATAATAAAAAAATTAAAAAAAAAATAAAAAAAAACGAAAAAAGTTTTAAAATGAAAAAATGTGCTTCCTTCCCTTGTTCTGAACGGTATGTGTGACCATTTTTAACATGCATGGTTTCCGGTTTGTTTGCCTGAAAGAGCGTTTTCTTTTTCGTGTGAAGGTGTTTTATACTATGTAAACAGTTTGGAGAATAAAAGTTTTGTCCTCCAGAAATCTTTCCAAAACCCTCGAAAAACTGTTAAAACACGTTTTTATAGGTTTCGCGGTATGCTCTTTAATCTAGACAGGTTAAAAAAAAATTTCGGCCTAGAAAACTGTTTTTTTAAAAACTGGGTCTCAAGAGGGCTAGCGGCCCAAATGATTGCCATATCCGGATTCAGCATACTTGATTACCTATTCTCCACTAGCTCACGGCTCAAAAGCGATTTCCCAGTTGGTGTCCTTTCCTCGTGAGTATATAAATCAAGCAATTAAGTAAATAAGTTTATTCATGCTAATAGAAGAGAAAGAAAGTGAAGAAGAAAGAAAAAGAAGTTCCAGTAAAATAGAGCCACGTTAGATCAAACACAAGAAAACGACCGGTTAATAAAGCATTAAGTAGTTAGAAATTAAGTTGACAATACTATCAGCATTAGGATGACGGTCTTGTATCAAGAAATTCCATGTACGTATCTAATCAATTGTTTGAGATTTATTTTAATAACTGCGTGTTGACTGAGAATTTCAGATAGAATACAGCTTCTCGCCAATACAAACGTGAATGTGGAGCCGTATAATATAAACACGCAAAACTTACAATCAAAATCATTACTGCAAAAATGTTAATTCTTTTCGAAATATTGTTTTAAAGAAATAAACCATTCTGTGATGTTATATCATGCGTTAACTAAGTTTCGGTGGCCTCTAAATCAATAACAATCCTTTCCTATATCAACAACTCTACTCAACTCATTGTGCACATTCGAGAACTCCACCATGATTCTTTCTTCTCCTATCCCAATAATTATTGCAAATAAAGCTACTACATTTAGTTATACAATGACACATGAATCAACTCACTTTTCAACCTTTCCTAGTTTTACCATAAGAAATGTCAAATATTCACAAGTTTCATTATTGTGAAAGTACGAAATACCGTATAAAAACCTTAAATAGGCTTGAAGAATGGCGTAATCTTTTTGGAGCTGCTTTTTCCAATGTGCGAAGGGTGTCACGTTCCACAGTTTCGTGGAAATACTATTATAGAATTCAAACTATCGATACTCACTCTCAAGCCCCCTTGTGAGTATATGTCTAACGCTCTAACTTAATTTTTTTAAGGGCAGTGAAAATTCTTCTTCAATTAATGGATAATGGTGCTAAATTAACCGTGTTGAATAAACGTTCCTGCTTCTTCCTCTTCTAATGTGATAATGTATTTGATGATAATGATTCAGTTACTTAAATTCGACCAGCAGAAGGAGAGAGAACGGAAACGTGCAGCCGAAAATGACTGCAGCATAAATACACAGTTAGAACGAAATAGCTAAATTATATTTTAGAAATAAGAAATATAATTTAGATTTCAAATTAGAATCAATATATGAATCGAAATTTACTTCCGATTATCACTTGTTTTTCTTGTTGTTCCTAGAAGAACCAAAAAAAATATAATAATTTCTTTTGTTTCTATGATCACGTACTCTGAAAACAGCGAAGCTTCGAAGTTACGAAAATTTATTAATTAAATTAAATTAAATTAGAAGAAACACCATCTGTAGCAGAAACAGAAGAAAAGGCCCACAATCAACATCATATCATTCATATAATAAAGAGGAAAAGAAAAACAACAACTGCAGAACAGCTAAGTGAGAACAACAGCTCAACATCATCACCGGCAAACAAGTAAATGAACCATTAATACGCTGATAAAAAATTAGCCATGAAAAACATTGTCACATAGATGAAAGGAGTGGGGGGTAGTGACAGCAGTCTGCTCCTATTGATCGAAAAATCGACGGAAGGTGGCAGGTGGTCGAGAAGAGTGTTGTATTTAATAGCACTCGTCGAACAAAGATCTGGCTGTCCGCCACTGCACGGCTTAAGGGCCACGCACCTGTGTAGGCTGAAACAGAGGTGTGTCACTTTGGACGTCAGTCAAAAGGCGATAGTGGAGAATCCTAGTTCTTTCAAGTGAATTAACCACTGCGTCATAGTGAAAGTTTGTTCCAAAGTAAAAACAAACATTGTCACGTGAATCAGTATAGTCGAAAACCTATCTGGGAAGTGTACGTTCGATATTATAAGTGAAAAAAGTGTGAGTTAGCGGCGTCCTTGGAGAATCGCTCCCTATCAGGAACTGGAGAACAGAAAAAAACGAGCTCCCTAGGTTTTGTAGAGGAAGGTTTGCTTGTTATAAAAGAATGGAAAAAAAATTTGTTTTTTTCGTTCTTTTCCAAGCTAGTCTTTCAAAGATGTGAATGGCTCACTACCTGTAGGTGGTAGATCTGATTCGATTTTTATTTCTCAAGGTGTCTTCAGGTGTTCGCTCTCGAACAGCGAAAACCGCATCTCTTTATCTACTTTCTATCAAAAGTCATTCGAAAAATAGTCAGAGCCATTCTTTTTTTTTAAACGTATAGTAGTCTTTTCGTCAAGACATAGTGTCTTCATTCTTACATGATTCGAATCACCATTTGGCGAGCAACAAACAAATGTTCCGTTGTTTTAAGATTACTTTTCTGTGCTGAGATAATTTATTTTTCTAAATTAGAGGCGCAAAAGTTGGAATTCTGCCGTAATTCGCAATTTTCGCGATCAGAACTCAATTTTTGAGCAATAAAAACATCAAATTTGAAACAGGGATAAAAGACTGAGTCGATTGATGTATATATCTATCTTATCTAGCTCCTTTAACTTTTTCCGAATTTTCACCTTGAAAAATTACAGAGATTTTCAACCAAAACTCAAAATCAACTAAAAATTTAGAAATACGTAGCAATCGACTCAGTCTTTTATTCTCATTCCGAATTTGATATTTTTATTGCTCCAAAATTGAATTACGGGAAAATTGAGAATTACGGGCAGAATTCCTACTTCTCTGCCGTCGATTTAGAAAAAATGAATTTTCTCAGCACAGGAAAGTAATGTTAAAATTGGTGAAACTTTGAATTACCGGCGTCTTAATAGTTCGCGGATAATTTGTGAACTAAGTATTTTCTGAATACCAGCTTCTTCCAGGCAAGGTGAGAGAAACATTGATAGATAATTGATCTGTTTTAATCGAATGAAAATCAACAGAATTTGATAATTTTTCAATTAACGAACATCAATATTGTTAGTATTCATGAACATCGTTCAACATCAGACATTTGCTGGATATTTTCTTGCAAAAACATGATTATCAATATTATTATCAAATGGTCAAGAAATCCATTTATGAGCAATAATTATCACACAGTTTGTTTTTCATTAATAGACACATTTCATCGACTAATACAAAGATAATATATCAACACAGACGAAAACACAAGAAAGAAGACAACACGAAGAAACGATTATGAAATAACAATTGATTAACTCACCGAGATGTGCATGTGTCAATTCTTCTTTTTTTTTCGTAGATTATGTGTGCGAGAACGATTGTTGGTTGTTTAGTAAATGCCTAAAATATACCACAGCTATAGAGTAAAGAGAGCATATCACATTTCTTTAAAAATAAAACTGGATCATAATGCTATAACTGAACAATTAGTCATGACGCTAAACTAGAGTTCATCAACTAGATTAAAGGTGGTATCATAACTAACCACGATCGGTATTATTGTTGTTTGTAATCATTTCTAGAAAATAACAAAACGTATATTTTTGAAAGGAGAGCACACAGCCTTCAACTAAGTAAGTCATACACAGATCTATCATAGAACAACAAAAAAAAGATTATTTAATGAGTAAATACTTAAACTGGATATTTTAATTGATTTTTCATGAGCTCATATTGTAATTAATTTTGATAAAACAAGATAAAATCGAATAAATTCTAGATGATTACAGCCAACGTCATACAAAGAAAATCTAAGACGTATAAAAATCATAGTAACCATTGAAAATATTAATTTAGATAATCACTGAATGGAGGATAACTTATATATCATCATGACTAACGAGGGAACATTCCCAGGTGCTGGAATCCGATTTCGTCCGTTCATGTGCCGATCGATAGGTCCTATTGAGGTGTGAAAAAGCCTCAGAGGATATCTGCCCGATTTGCTTCCTTCCAAAGTTACACTCGTTTTTCTGTTTTTCCCAGCGAAAAACGCACTACATTGAAAAATTCATAACTCAGTCAGTTTTTTCAATATCCGCTTGAAACTTTCATCGAAAACAGGTGATCTGGTCTAGTATTTATGCTGAAAGTTTCAGCCTTCAACTGTGTTTCCTTTCCGAAATACAGAATTTTTCGTTTTTCAAGCGATTGCCGTGCCAATTACA